ACAGCACATAATGTTCGCCTTATTTGAACTGCATTTTTACCATATTGATAGAAAAACAGTAAAATATACCGATAATGATGCTCCAGTACATGAGTAGACACACCTTAAAATTAAAATATAGATTTTTTTTCGGCGAATCTGCTCTCTACTACGGAACATTTGGCCACTCTACGAGTTCAGCTATATGCTATAGTCGTCCGATATCGCCGTACTTTGTCTATTTATGCATTTTTTAGGGTCTCTAAAGTTTCTTTTTAAGCGTTACGAACTTCGTGGCAAACTAACTCTGTACATGTACATACTATATATAGTAAGATTTACCGATCTCAGTGATAACTCTCCTCTACCCAGACACTTGAGGTCTTGCTACTCACGGCCTTCACACACCAATTAATCCTAGCAAACCTAAACAGCATTTAGCGTCATAAACGTCCAAATAGTTCATGCGAGAGTACGGTCCTCGTAACGTTGGACTTATTAATAGTCTTTGGAACAGTCAACTAAAAATCTACGCTCCTTTCAGGACTGAAGAGGTGAACTATGAACTACTTGAGCGGTCGTCAATCATCCATACTAAGTCGAGATAAAAACTCAAAACTGAGAAGAATTAAACAAGGAACTCCGCAGAGTGGTGTCCTCTCCCCGTTATTGTTTAACTTCTACATCTCGAAACTCCCGCCTTCACTGGAGGGAATTTCTATCACCTCGTAAACGGCTATCTCTCCGACTTTTCCCGCTTTCTCCCTGCACGGAACTTAATACTCTTTTCCACAAAATCCACAGCGGCCATATTTACAAACTGCACGAAGGAGTATAGACTTTATCTTGTCAACAACCCTAAAGTTTTAGGAGTGGCTTTCGTCTGTGTTTCTAAACTCCTCATACAAAAGCGATTTTTGCCAAAATAGCGACACAAAATCCTCAAGTAGCTAGTCGTTTGATTATGGGGAAAGGACAAAGAAAATTCTTGGCAACATCTAAGCCAATCGGCCGGTCCCGCCCTTAAATATGCCGCACCAATATGGTTGCCTGGATGCAGTGAAACGCAAATGAGGAAGCTGCAAACTTGTCAGAACACTGCACTTCGGACTACGAAAGGACGCCTCTTGATGTCTTCCGTCGAATGCCTGCATAGTGAGACCCGTATGCTCCCAGTTAAAGAACATAATAAACTCCTCTCCAAGCAGTTCCTGCTGGGGGGCTTTCGCGGAAATCATTCTTACAGTCATATGCTTGGAGCGGAACCGGCTCTTAGGAGCATCAATAAGTAATTTTCCAACTACGGCGACGACATAAAACAGTACGCCGAACAGACTTCGGACGTAAGCAACTTCAGACACACATTGACCGCTATTCACAGTGGAGCCGATTCCCTCTCAGTGAATGACGTACTTGGCGTCAAAACACCATCTATTGCGGAGGAACAGCTCGAGCTGCCGCGAGAATCGAGAGTGAGCACAGCTTCGTTCTAGATACTGTAGCAGGTAAGCTCCTATTTATCCAGAATAGACCTAAACATATCAAACATATGTCCAGCGTGCAATCAGTCCCCGCATGACACCACATCTTTGTATGCCCTGCTAATCCTGCACATCCAACAACCTTCTACCTTTGGTTAGACCCTGTCGAAACAGCACATTTCCTGGGCCTACCGTTGGATGACGTCGAAGACAACTTATCTCATTCATAACATTTTAGTGGATATTAGGTACCTGTTACAATAACAACATAGTATAAATAATTGTTAATTAGTCTCACATAAGCCAGACAGTCATGTAACCAATTTTTGGCTGTTTGCAATTAAAGTATTTCGTCTTTATTGTTGAAATCTGTTTTCCAGCAGCTAAGCGCCAGCTGTGAAAATATTTACAATTTATTGTTATTGAAAAATGCTTTTACAGCCATATTTTTGTGTATATAATTAAACGCCAAGAAAGTGAATTCCGTTATTTTTTTTGGAAAACCTGCTAGGTAGTGTATGAAACAATGCCAGCAAAACACACCTTAAATTGTACATGGAAGCAATTTAAACTGGGTTAGTAAGCAAATTATTTAAACATAAATGGCTTTCGACCAGCTGAAATGGAGCTGAAACTGAAACTGAAATGTTTTACTGCCAGCTGCGTAAGATGCTCGTGTTGATAGCTGCAACAAAAACATGCTGCTCTGACTATACTCAACACTAAATTGTAAACACTATCCATTGAATTGGCCTCAAACTGCAGGCCACTTAGTCATAACAACTTCACCTAGCAGCGACTCAACAAGTTGGAAAAGTGAAAACACTTGAAAAACTTTTGTGGTGGTCGAACTGCTAGCGAATCTCCCATTCCAACCGACAGAGATGTGAGCGCTGTGGACTTGGAAAAATGCCGAAAAAATAGTGGAAGACGTAAGCCACATAGTGCAGCAATAGTGAGCGAGAGAGGCAAAAGGAACATAAATATGACAGGCGGACGGAGGCGAAACCGCTGACTGCCTGCACTTAAGTGAGTCTAATTGAGATAGGACAGCAACAAGTTGACGCGACAAGTTGGTGTGAAATTTTCATTTCTATTTCATCTTATTTTGACTTCTTTCTTCGGTTGGTGGCACAAAGAATGCGCGTTTAAAGACACCGCGGCGCTCCAAAATCTTTAAAGCACGCTTTTCTCCAGATCTTAAGTATATGTATACCGTTAATTTATTTGCTAATGTTTTATATAAGATTTTCTTTGATCTCGCTGAATGTTATGGCAGTTGCTGGTGATGATGTTGTGTTGAGAAGAATTACTAGTCGTTTCTCCGCTCTGATTTGGGTATGGTCGGCTAAGCATTTTCGTGACAGCCGCGTAATTGACAACAATTGAATAAGTAATACACACAAGAGCAGTAATTTAGCTTGCTTTTCTTGATCTTGCCGCCAAGAGTGAACCACCCGAAATTTGGACGGCATGTTCGCTCTCAGAACCGAATTAGTTGGGTGCTACTTAAGTTTTTCAGCTACAATAAAGTGGGGAATTCTTAATTTATTCTTCAATATCTCTCTTGACCCGAATACACTTGTGCGAACATATTTTCAATCCTCAAAACAGTTATCATTACCGATTCAATTGACTTAAAACGGTTTCCCTGGAGCTGTCGTTTAAGTTTGCTGAATAGCTAGAATTCACATGAAGCTAAATCAGGCGAATGTGGTGGTTTCGGTCCAATATTGGTTGAAAATTTGACGAAAAACTCACGAAAAATACAAATACCAAAAGTTGGCTGCGCACAATTCCGCACTCTTGAGGAATAGCTGGTCGGAATGAATTCAGACTGCGTCACACCTCGATAATCTTAATTTTTGACCTGCTTTGACGAGGTTTTTTTCGGCTTCGACTCACAATAAAGTGCGCTTGTGCTTTTAGCTATTCGGCTGATTGATCGTCTGTTACCGGGTCGTAAGCATAGATCCAAGATTCATCTCCAGTAATTACTGTCAAAGAATACGTTTTTCGAAAAAATTGTGTGATTTTGAAACCAATCGTGCTTTAACTTTCTTCAGCCTGATCTTTCAAAATGATTTTCACTAATCCTTCCCATATTCCAACATTTCAGTAAGATCTCTGTACCAATTTCATAAATTTATTGTCGTGTTGATCATGACTTGTTATTGTTGGCCGTCCTGGACGTGGTTCGTCGTCAATTTGTATCAAACAAAAGCACTTGCTCGAGAAAAACATTTTTCTCTGAAGACCTGTTCCAACATTCTGCACGTTTCGGCACCAGAAGTTTAATTCCGCACACAAAATTTAGTGGAACTTGTTTGTTGCAAAAGATATGTAATTTAAAAAGTCTTACTCTTTTTTGCCAATAGCATCTACTAATATTTGAAAATGAAAATTGAAAATGGGTCATTTGTCATTGAACAAACTTATAAAATGAAAACAAGCGCCTCCCAAAGTTGTGGTATATTAATAACCAGCGTGACGAGTTGAGTCGATTTAGCCATGCTCGTCTGTATATACGCGAACTGCTCTTTCAGATTTTGAGATATCGCTCTGAGAATTATTTCCTTCGAAGAACTTCTTCATTTATCGAAACCACCCATATTGGACCATTATAGCATGTAACTGCTCTATCAGCTGAACGACCAAAATTAAGTTCGTCTATAAAATACTTTATTATTTGTAGAGATATCTTACCGATAGAATATTCTTCGAAGTGGCGGTATAATCTCCGCAGAAATTTTCACGATTGGATCACTATATCATATAACTGCCACACAAACTGACCCTTCAAAATAATTGTCTTGTGTGGACATTTCTTCGTGTTTTTCCTTATTGAAGGGTATTATAGCTTTAGTGCAACCGAAGCACTGTTTTTTCTTGTTGTTGTTTTTTTTAATATGTGTTATATATTTTTGTTTAACTATCTTTATCTTTTTTATAGTTGGCTGATAGTATGGATGGCTTGCATACACAATAAATTCGCTTGTGTGGCCAAGCGATTAACTCTCTGCTTGTTGGTAGCAATTATTATAAATCAAACGAATTTGTTATTGTGTTAGACATCAAATACCAGTTTCCATAAATTTGATCTATTCGATAATGTGAATGTTTATGTGGAATTTTTCACACTCTAAAGTTTTTTATGGAATTTGCTGAATAAGGATTAAAACCAAAATCGTAAATAAGTCTATTATGAAACTCCACGCAGTAAATATTTCAGTCAGTAATATTTTAAAAAATAGTATGGAGAAAGTATGTTTTCAGTTTGTACAACAGCATTATCATAAGCAAAACTGAACAATAAGTTAAATTTATTCATTTGGTGTTAATAACTAAATTCTCTGAACTGGAAGCATGAAACCAGTTTGTTTCTTGCTAATTTTTATATAGCATTTGCTCATGAAAGCAGTGGCGTCATTGCAGATATTCAGAAGTTTTTTGCGCAAGTACAAGTTTAATTTTATTTCGAGTTTTTATATAATCATCTTAAGTTGAGTATTAATAGATAATTATTTCTTTTTTTTTCAGCAACATTTTCGGACAAAAAGGTGTGCATTTGTAGTGGTAAGTCAGTACCAGTTGTCGAATTAAAAAGCTTATATGCAGATATAATAAATTTTGATACATTTTCTTCATATATATTAAGTATGTATTTACATACAATAAATAATAGAGGCAAAACCAATCCCCAATTCAAACAAGTGAAGAGTAAAAATTTGCAGTTGTAGCTAGCTCCTTAAAAATCAAAAAAATCACAGAAAACCATTTTTTATTATTCTGTAACAATTTGAAGTTTTGATATTATATTTTAACTCCAACTCTTCCTTAATATTTTAAACTCGGGAGCTTCAAATACAGTAACAAGTGATAATTTACTAGACAATAGCATTTTGTAAAAATTATTTGAATTTTTCATATAAATTTTGAGATTATGTAAATAAAAATGTACATCTTTTTATTATCTTAAGTTTGCCTTATAACTTTTTTCTATAGAAAATAAATCATTTTTAATTTTGAAATTTCAAACATGTCGTCACCTACTTCTTTCCGACCTCAGATCGCCCGTAAATTATTTTTTCCTTTAATTTTTGTTATTATATCTGACTTTTTCAAGGAGTTTCAACCCACTATATTTTTTCCCCCTTTTTACCACTTCAAGGCTTTATGTCGATTTAAGGTACCCATCATCCAAGTATTTATCTATATTTTTTTTTCGCCTTCAAAATCATTACCACTATACACTTTTGTCAACAGTTTTTCCAATTCATGAAACCGTTTTCATAAGAACTTTTAGGCCTTCATCTTCTGAAAATTGAAGCGGGTGCCATTCCGATGATTGTTGACTTGTTTGCACGTCGAACTTATAAACTCATGTCTTATAGGCAGTTATAACGCTATCCATGAATGAGACCTGTTTATACATAGTACTCTTTTTGAAAAAGTTTCAGCTTTATCAGGATGAATGGAGCAAAAACGCGTTTCATACACAAAATATAAACCAAAATCATTCGAGCGGACTCGCGAGAGATGTCGGGCTCTCTTGTCATTTCTGTAACACTTGCCTGATAATTTTCGAGCACCATATCTTTGACAGTTTTATTATTTTCATCAGTTGAAGATATCTAATGTCGTCCAGAATGTGGAACTTTTGGGCTTCTGTTTTTGATAGAATTGAATCACCGTAAGCCTTTTTGAAAACGGAACTGGATTAGAAATACAAAATTTGAGAAAAATGCTTTGTTCGATATGTTTTATCCATTGTAAAAATCGCAACCCGACTTAAGCAGCTGCTGTACACAAACTGGTTAACAGATCGCTCTCATATTTGGTATAGTAATTAAGTACACTCTTAGGAAAAGTATACTTTTTGAAATATCATTTTGCCGGGGAATTCATTTACGATTTCCGGGTGTTTCTTTATCACAATGCATATATGACTACATATGTTCTACAAAGGTAAAACTGTTTCGTTTTATTCAAATCTACATTCGTACAAATGACCTCACAAATGTATTTGCAATGGGTTGAAACAACTCTTGAACATATGTGACTCTGCTTACCGGCTTTTAGTCATAGGAGAAATCTTATCATCTTATCAGTTCGCGAAAATATTTAACTACATACCGAGTTATAATACAATAGATATACTAATACAGAGGTATATGGGGTGCTTTTACAAGTATATAATTTCCCAGGAATAGCTGTCAAAGTAAACGATGATTCAAAAAGCCTTATAGCGCATGAAACTATAGCATTATTGAAATGAACTTTTGATGAGCGAGTCATATAGAGAATGAGGTGAGTTATAGAGAATTGGACACATAAATTCAGAGATTTTACTCAATTATCCTCCTTTTCATGGGGTCAAGTTAGACGTTTGTGCTGATAAAGTGGCTACGACTGAGGTGGCATCTTTTTGCTTGAAAATAATTACAAAATGTCCTCAACAGAATGACGTTAATAAAACCACAATGAAATCCCCGAAACTTTGGCCATAAACTAAATGGCATAAAATGTACTGCATAACTAATTAAGCAAGAATTTGGACCAACCAATTATTATGCGCTTTATTTATATTCTCTCTAAAACTACACCCTATATACAATACTTGCATTTATTGATTTCCATTGTGTGCATTTCGTATGAATAGAACAGGATATTGCTGTTAATCAACTCAACGCTCAGTGGCAATAAATAAAGTTGCAAATTTCTTATCAGCATTTGTTTGCTCATATATTCTTCGCAAAGAAATATAAAATAAAGTGACTCATAAAATTGACTGCAGGCATGTAACGGCTTACAAACGTAAAATATCAAAATGATTCGCGTTTTGAGGGGAAATGAAGTTTGCTCATATGAAGTGATAAGCAAATTTGACGCTTAAACTGCAGTATGTATATAAATAAATGTGCTTACTACAAATATATATTGGAAAATATATCTATGTTTATATAAAGGGTGTTGATTTTAGACATGTGGTTTCTAAAAAGAAATTTATGTTATGACCTATAATTTGTCTAGAACACATACCGTGTTCAGTTGGCTCTATCCTTTGCGAGGTCACATCAGTTATATATCCCGAGTGCAGACATGTTTCTATGGCCCTGGTCGTTCCATCAGATGTGTGGGCGCCTCTTGCTTCCGTTGCTTCCGTTGCTCACCCATGTGACTCGAATTGAAGGAGCTCTTCGTTGGAGCATCGTCTTCTATGCCGCTATAGAGCTGATAAATTTTGTGTTTTCAACTTTTTCGATATACAAGGGCTCCAATGACCTTGCGGAAAACATTTATCTCGAATTCTCTAATTTCGGTTCTGCATGTGCCATTTTTCTACGACGTTTAATAGGTTGAAAATGGCAAGATTTACCCGAGCTTCGAATGTTTCAAATTTAAAACACGTAGGTTGCTCTTTATATATCGAGTTTTGGGACCCCTAGAATTGCAATTTGGTAGCAAACAACTTTATCGTAAGATTAGTAATTTTTGATGCTATACAATACATAGTTAGAAGTTTTGTACGTCAAAACCAGTATTTGTGTTTTTAAAATATCAATTTTGGCTAAAATATGTAACTAAATCGTGAACATTTTTGAGCGATTATATTTTGCAACTTTCGAGGTGAATTAATTCAGCGACAGTGCGTCGATGAATTTAATATTTAATTCAGCTTTTGATGATGAAACTTCATTTATCGATGGTATGGTAAATTCAATCGAGGTCGTAGAACCACTTAAAGCAGAATTTCGTGAAGGTCGTCCAAAATTAGTTCTTGTTTCGGAAACTATTGACGCTGTGCGCCAAATTGTGAGATAAAAATTGGGAAAATAGGTCAACGTTTCTCGTTACCTGAAAAGGTGGTTAATGCGTTCAGAGCGAATATTTTGACGATACCTCAATCAGAGTGGCAAAAGTGTTTCGAAAATTGTTTTAAGCGCAGGGAAACGTAGATAAACCTGAATGGAGAATATTTTGAAACGCCCTAAAGCAATTTTCGATGATTCAAATTTGTTTTTTTTTCCAATCTCGAAATATGAGAGGCAACCTACGTATTACAAATTGTCTCATCATAGGCCATGTTCGAACAGAAGGCCACAGTTTGTGACAGCTCAAAAGCTAGTCCCATCTTCCTTTGCGACTAATTTCGGACTCATCCCGGACCTGTCACATTTTTGCTGCATTTATATGCCGCACCACTACATTCGACAGTGCGGTAGGCAGCAAAAGGTGTTGACAGCATTGAGAGGGATGTTTTGTTTGTAATAGTCTACCTTATTTTTTTTTATATATGTTCATCTATACAAAAATATATAAGGTAATAGCAGCACAAACTCCTAGGAAGCCCCTGAATACACTAATACATAAAGTGTATAAGAGAATATACATGTTTATGTACATAAATATACATACATATATCTAGTATACATGTGTTGATATCTTTCGTGCTAGGGATAATGTTGTGACCATTTTTGAAAGCATGTTGCCCTCCTTTTTTACTCAATTCATTGAGTAAAATTTGAATATTTTTCATTCGCCCCATTATTATCAGCATCTACCCCATTCCTTCGATTTTCCGTTGATGAGCCACCCTCAGTGTGGATTGAAAATATTCCGCTAAATTTGCATAAAATTTGATTTTTATGGCAAGAAACTTCTAAATTGAGCACGTCATGCGAATATGTGATGGCACGTGACATTGTTGGAATATTGATGTTGTTGTTTTTCCCCTTTAACAAAGAAATTTTGAAACTGCTATTTGTCACAGAATTTTCTCTCGTATATACTCTGTAAGTGCGAATGTTTATGAAAATGGCACGAAAAATTACTCAATAAACGAGTATGTGAAAATATTTGTTTTGCACATAGATACATATATGCATAATAAGGGTAGAGTTGAGAGTAATGATTTTCCATTAAATTGAATGCCTTGATTTCTGCATTGATAACTCTACTGGTATCTACTATCAGCCGTAGTTCCCGGTATCGCTTCCAACAAATGAGTAGCTTCTTGTGGAGAAAAGGACATTCAAATAGATACCTCAAAAAATGACGGACAGACATGTCTAATTCGCCTCAGCTGGTAACGCTCATCTTTTTATACTCTCGCAACAAACTAAAGAGAGAATTATAGTTTTGTTCACATAACGGTTGTTTGTAAGTCCTAAAACTAAAAGAGTCAGATATAGGGTTATATATACCAAAGTGATCAGGGTCACGAGTAGAGTTGAAATCCGTCTGTCTGTCYGTCTGTCCGTCCGTCCGTGCAAGCTGTAACTTGAGTAAAAATTGAGATATCATGATGAAACTTGGTACACGTATTTCTTGGCTCCATAAGAAGGTTAAGTTCGACCAAAATCGGCCCACTGCCACGCCCACAAAATGGCGGAAACCGAAAACCTATAAAGTGTCATAACTAAGCCATAAATAAAGATATTAAAATGAAATTTGGCACAAAGGTTCATTCATTAGGGAGGGGCATATTTGGACGTAATTTTTTTGGAAAAGTGGGCGTGGCCCCGCCCCCTACTAACTTTTTTGTATATATCTCGAT